GAATGTGTTTAATTGTAGGCAGGGACATTACTGGATATTCTCGTGTAATTGCTACAGAATAATTTATGTTATACTTTGTTATTGACCCCGTGACACCCCATTGAAGAGCCGTAGGCTGTGGATCTCTTAAGATCTCACTGTTGGGTTTGTAAGGCCATGTTACTCCTAAATTTCTATCTTGTTCAAAGAGAAGATATAAAACAAAGTTCTAAGCTAATCGCCCTTAGTGTTCTCCTTTTTAAAAAGAATCGATAAAGAATTGAATTGTTAAACAGAATCGAAAATGGAATCGGAATTGTGAAAATCTTATCAATACCCATCCCTAGACGTCAGTTAAGTAACGTAACTACGTAACCGTGCTTGCTTATGTTCTAAACTCACCAAGGGCCCATACTGAGCCAAGAAGAACTCTTATTTCTTTTAATTAACTTAACTGCATTAAAGGGTGTAACACTGTAAATTGCTCTGATATAAAAGGAATACTGAGACAGTTCAAACTTTTCTGCTACTTGCCCTCGCAGCAATGAGGTGGTAGTCCCATAGAGTTTCTTTGTTTTATTGTGAGCCTCAAATATAAAAACCTCTAAGGCTTTATATATATATATATATTTTTTAAAAAAAACCCAAAGAACTAACAAAACAACAACAACAAAAAACCTAGGCTTTAATGTCTTCATTCAATTTTGGTGCTTAAAGAGAAATTTTAAATTACAATTTCTCCTCACTGTTTAACTACAAAGAGACTTAAATGTCCATCCCTAGTTAATTTATGGGTCAGCTTTTTCCCCCGTTTGTCACACTGGTTACAAACAAACCAGAAAAAGAAACCAAATTGGCCACTAGAGGTCATTTTTAATCATAGTAGAAATCAGCACTGTCCAAATTTCTCCAAAAATAAATTCATTAATTTGAAAAATAGAAAAGAAAAAGCTTACAGCAGCACATAAAGCAGAACCTGGACAAAACACACAAACCACATCAGCACTGATATACTGAGCAAAACCACAGACAAAAAGCTATATGGCGTTCATGCATTAACACGATGACTGACGAGCAGGAGAGGAGTTGATTAATGAAGGGCAAGCAACACATATGACATGCTACAAGCTATTGCAGGCAAAAGGCAGGAGCTAACAGTTACAAGCTGTTAGTCAAAGCAGCAATTAGAAGGTCACTGGGGGGGGGAGAAGCTACAGTGATTTACAAAGCAGCCCAGACAAAGAGAGATGGCAATGGAGGCTGAGGGGAAGCAGGCACAGATGAGTCTGCTGACCTGATGGGGCTTGGCTGGAGCACCACCGGGAGGCCCACTGCAACCCCTCCTGGGGCTATAGGGCCTTTCAGCCACCGGACCAGGGGTGTGGCAGGGGCGGGTTGCTCGCCGTGGCCTTCTGGGTGACCTGGGTGTCTCCAGGGGCAGAAAAGAG